AAATTTCAAAATGCTCCTACACGTTAACTCGGTCACATGATCAAGTGACATTTACAAATGCTCATAACAGCTTTGGTTGTCTTCGGAAAATACTAGAAACAGTATTAATGCTCATCAGCAGGTGAATAGGTAATAAAATGTGATATATTCTTGCAAAGTAATAACGTACACTATAAGTTAATACATTACAGTCACATGCACTCACACTAATAAATACAATTTGAGAGGAAAAGAGGATCCAATGCAGAAAAATCCTTTATAAAGCTTTAAAATATGCAGAAAAATAAATGTAGATGTGAAATACTAACACTCAATCTAGGAACTGATTATCTGTAAGGAGACAGAAGACCTACACCTGTTCCTTAATGTTTAATTCTGAAATTATATATATATTGAATATATATAACTGCAATTCAACATAAGTAACGATAATGCAACCTACATAAAATTAAAATGTAACAGGCTTTTTCCACTTCCTTCTCAATATTTAGAATATATGGAGGAACTTAAACTTATTTGAAAGGGATAACCTTGCGTTGTCACTTTATCTTCAGGTATAAAAATGAAACATTATAGAAGTTCACCAGAATTATAATCATTATTATTATTTTCTTCTAATAGAAGGCATGACCTCTCATGTTTTTTCCACAGATTTGCAGTTATCAAAATAGGAAAGTGACTTCACTGTGAATACTATTGAACATGACTGATATCAGGCTCTACTGTAGTTTCCTGGAAAGTAAATAAAATGCACCATGATTTTCACAATTGCAAAATGAGAATTATACATTCCTGGAAGCCAATACATGATTATAAATTAAAGCCAATTTGATATGCAAAATAATATAATAGGGATTATTTTTATAAATTTATATTAACACGTATAAATTATACAAATACTAATTATTTACACGCTGGCTAAATTTGCAGTTTAAAGTAACATGAGAGAAAACCTGGAAGATGTTAATTAAATGACATAATATTTGACTGAAAGTCCACTTATGAATTTTCAACTATACATGGTAAATAGAAAGCTGTTGCTTTAAAATAAAAAAAAATACCAAAAATGATGAAATGTATTCCTAGTTAGTGATTCAGCAATACATTTGATAGTATGCAAATTAGTAAATCACTGACCTTATTTTGAAGTGTATACATGACATTGCTTAGGTTAGTAGAGACAGAGATGAGAATTGCCTTTCAGTATAGGTTGTTATAACTTGTTATGAATTTACTGCTACAGTCTATTTTTTTTAATGTTTTTATTTATTTTTGAAGGAGAGAGAGACAGAGACAGAGCATGAGTAGGGGAGGGACAGAGAGAGAGGGAGACACAGAATCCTAAGCAGGCTCCAGGCTCCGAGCTGTCAGCACAGAGCCCAATGAGGGGCTTGAACTCACAAGCTGTGAGATCATGACCTGAGCCCAAGTCTGACACTTAACTGACTGAGCCACCCAGGTGCCCCAGTTACAGTCTATTTTATTACTACAGTTTATTCTGAGTCTCAAATAATTTTGAAAATATTTGAAATAATTTTGATAATATATCTTTACTTTGGCTTCTGCAATGAAGTATTTATTATTCCAAACGTATCCATGTAACATTCACAATATGGTTTTTAAAACAGTTTATTAATTCAAGGTTTGTGAATTATTTTTAAAATACAGGCAGTCAAGGGGCGGCTCAGTCAGTTAAGCGCCTGACTCTTGGTTTCAGCTCAGGTCATAATCTCACGGTTCATGAGTTGGAGCCTCACATCATGCTCTGTGTTGACGGTATAGAGCCTGCTTGAGATCCTCTATCTCCTCTCTCCGCCTCTCTCCTGCTCTCCCTCTCTCTCTCTCTCTCTCTCTCTCTCACACACACACACACACAATCTCTCTCTCTCTCAAATAAAGGGGAAAAAACATTTAAAAAAACCCCACACACAGGCAGTCAAAAAGACCTCTCCTGTTTCTGGACTACAGTCAAATACCCTAAAGTGATTTGCTGAAGTGTCTTCAGGTTATGAGGGGTAGCTGGGTATAATATTTTCTGTATAGTACTTTCTTTTCCTAAGAGTGTGGGGTGAGTACATTAATATTACTGAGGTTATATGCAGAACAAAGGAATTAAACAAAACATGGAAATAAACTTTTTAATCATAAATAAGATGATCTATAATGAAAACCAAACAGTAATGAGTATTATCTATTAAAATTAGATAAAATTAGATAAAAGTTTTCACAAAGTAGAAACTTTAGGAAGCACAAGAAGCAGGTAACATAAAGAAGCAAGACACTTTTTATATCATTTTATTAGCCCAGATTATGGAAAAAACGTCCCATATAAAGTAATTAATAAGGCAAGCGAATTGATGTATATATATTAACTACTTGATTTACATTCATCTGTATCACTTCCTAGCAATTACCCATGAAATGTTTTTAAAAAAATTTAATGTTTATTTATTTTTGAGACAGAGAGACAGAGCATGAGCAGGGGAGGGGCAGAGAGAGAGAGAGAGAGAGACACAGAATCGGAAGAGGGTTCCAAGCTCCAAGCTATCAGCCCAGAGCCTGATGTGGGGCTCGAACTCACAAGCCATGAGATGCTGACCTGAGCTGAAGCCAGAGGCTTAACCAACTAAGCCACCTAGGTGCTCCGGCCATGAAACATTTTAAAAGCTTACCATTTATTATGTCAAAAACAAAACTTCGTTGTATTCTTCAATAAAACAGGAAACTTAAAAATGTGAAAAATTAATTACTGTGCCACTTAGAGATTTTTTTTAAATGATGATGAATGAACTCTAAGGCCAAAGGGGCAAGCCACATTTAATGATGAGACATTTCCTCTTAGAAATTACGGACTATCAGCAAAGCTGTGGTCAGAGAAGTATTGGAGGGTCAAAAATGAATTCATTTCTTGGTAAAAGTGAATTAAAATAAGTTAAGCATTTAAGTTATTACTACAACTAAAACCCAAAAGAAACATAAGGAATGAATTAGTAAAGATTAAAACAGAAAGTGGTAGAAAAAAATTTTTTTTCAGTAAAAACAATACAAAAGTCTAATGGCTATTTTGTTGAAATCAGCAATAAGAGAGAACAGAAGATAACTAATCAAAAATTTTCCCATAAGAAAAACAAACAAATTCACATGTTATAGTCAGATTTATATATACACATGTATTAAAAATATATATAGGGGCACCTGGGTGGTGCAGTCGGTTAAGCGTCCGACTTCAGCCAGGTCACGATCTCGCGGTCTGTGAGTTCGAGCCCCGCGTCAGGCTCTGGGCTGATGGCTCAGAGCCTGGAGCCTGTTTCCGATTCTGTGTCTCCCTCTCTCTCTGCCCCTCCCCCATTCATGCTCTGTCTCTGTCCCAAAAATAAATAAACGTTGAAAAAAAAAATTAAAAAATATATATATATATATAAATTAAGATCAGGAAGGTACATTCGACAATGTACTTTTAAAAATTATCTGAACAAGTTAAAGTTTATTCTGGGAAGGCAGAGGCAGCTAAACATTTAACAATCTATCAATGCAATTCATCATAATAACTCATTAAATAGAAAAAAATCATGAAAATAATCATAATAAAACCCCCATAAGGGGGGGGGGGGTGGAAATTACTTGCAAACACTCAACACACATTTATAAGAAGTTGCAAAGTAAGAAACTAGGAAACTTCTTATGATGATAAGTGTATTCCTTAAAAATCTATAGCCAACCCCAAAATTAATGGGAAAATGTTTGAAGCATTTATTTTAAAGTCAGGAACAAAACAAAGGTGACCTCTCTGGTAAATAGTATGAACATGAAAAGACAATAAAGACCGTCCTCTTGTACAATAAGATTTTTTAAATGATAAAATATTTGAGACCGGAAGGGAAAAACCATCGCTGGTAAGAGAAAACACATTCATTTAGGAGAGTATTAGAGGCAAAGGGAACCAATTGTACATTTCAACAATGCCAGCTGGCTCTAAAGTGAATATGTAACAACAGGTAGCTTTTGAGGAGTCAATTGTAACAATCAGAAAATTTGTTTAATGAAGTAAAATGGTCATCCCTAGAGCAACATGAAATAGAAGGTACCTGAGTGTAAATCTTAACAAATGATGTATGAAACTTCCATGGAAGACATTATGAAGCCGAAGTGTAAATACAGATGAATTTGACATCAAAGTTTGTGTGATTCCGTGTTCTTGGAATTCGACAATGTCTGTTTAAAAAAATCACCCTATGGGGCGCCTGGGTGGCGCAGTCGGTTAAGCGTCCGACTTCAGCCAGGTCACGATCTCACGGTCCGTGAGTTCGAGCCCCGCGTCGGGCTCTGGACTGATGGCTCATAGCCCGGAGCCTGTTTCCCATTCTGTGTCTCCCTCTCTCTCTGCCCCTCCCCCGTTCATGCTCTGTGTCTCTCTGTCCCAAAAATAAATAAACGTTGAAAAATAAATAAACGTTGAAAAATAAATAAATAAATAAATAAATAAAATAAAAAAATAATAAAATCACCCTGCATGTCTGAGCTAGTTTTTATGTAGTGATTTGCTGCTTGGATCACAACATTTAACTATGTTTGCGTTTAGAAAATCAAAGATGTGCTAAGATTGAAAAAAAGTGGTACTCCAGAGGCAGCAGGTTAGATAAGATATTGTCCAGTTATATTTAGTATAACAATTTATATGATGCAATGATAAGTGGCATGGCTAAAGGACTTGAAAAGCAGCCTGAAAGACTCTGCAAAATGTTTTCTGCTGACAGGCAACCCCACTGGCACTAATTTCAGTTCTTTTAGGCTCTATTCCAGCATATTTCCAGACCAGTCCGATATCTCTCCTGACGTTGGGTTTTTCTCCAGCATCCAAATAGTGAGTCCACAATTCTGTACTCCTTGTCTTATTTATTTGTTTGTTTGTTTGTTTGTTTAGCTTTGGTTTGCCTTTTTTAAAGTTTATTTATTTATTTTGAGAGAGAGAGAGATAGCACACAAGCAGGGGAAGGGGGGAGGAGGGAGAGAGAGAGAGAGAGAGAGAGAGAGAGAGATACAGAGAGAGAGAGGGACAACCCCAAGCCGGCTCCGCACTGTTGGTGCAGACCCCAATGTGGGGCTCAAACTCATGAACCATGAGATCATGACCTGGGCCAAAATCAAGAGTCAGATGCCTGAGTCAGTCAGACACCCATTTTTTTTTTTTTAAACAAAGCTCCAAAACCATAGATTTGTTTCCGGGTTTACCTGTTGTGTGAGTGGCTACTGCCCCATGGGGCTTCACAAACTTCTCTCTGAAAAAACACTCCCTCCAAATTGAATCCTGCACTTAAAGAGCAAAACTTCACCCGTCTTAAGTACTTTAGGCTTTAGACATGATTTTCACAGAAAATGGATAGAGAGGTTTTAAGCATTGGTTTAAAAACACAGGATTCAAAGGTGGCCAGTTTAATGGGGACAATACTTCAGATGGGTAATGTCACTCCAGATGAATAAGTATTTTTGGAGTGCTTCCTGGAGGAAAGAAATAAGAAATTCTTTGCCTCTGCTGAGTGTAATTTTCAAATACCTTACTTTAGAGTTACTATTGATTTTTTTCATTTAATTATATAAATAAATAAATAAATATTTGTTCACATTTTATTGAAACCAAAGTGTGCTTATTTGTAAAATGATATTTGTCACAGGAAGAACTTGTGCACCTGTATACATAACTGTGAGTTTATTATTTTTTTAAGTAAGCTTTTGCCCAAAAGGGGGTTTGAATTCACGATCTGGAGATTAAGAGTCACATGCTCTACTGACTGAGTTAGCCAGGTGTTCCAGAGCTGTGATATTTCTTTTTTTTTTTTTTTTCTAATTTAGGTTAGTTAACATAGAGTGTAGTATTGGTTTCAGGAGTAGAATTCAGTGATTCATCACATACAACACCCAGTGCTCATCACAAGTGCCCCCTCCTAAATGCCCATCACCCATCAGCCCATCCCCCACCCACCCCCCTCCATCAACCCTTAGTTCGTTTTCTATATTCAAGAGTCTCTTATGGTTTGCCTCCCTCTCTGTTTTTATCTTATTTTATTTTTCCTTCCCTTCCTCTATATGCATCCATTTTGTTTCTTAAATTCCACATATGAGTAAAATAATATGATACTTGTCTTTCTCTGACTGCCTTGCCATTTCCAACAATGTGGATGGGACTTTGAGTGTATTATGCTAAGCGAAATAAGTCAGCCAGAGCTGTGATAGTCTTAAGTCAAGAGCAAACTTGGACTAAAATAATTTATTACAGAATTAAAATATCTAAAGGAAAGTCAATCCCAATATTGCCATTCATATTCTTTCTTTTTCCCCTTCTGGATGATTAAGATATTTAGAGCACTGATTTCAGCCAACAGAAGCTTTGGAAGGGATGAAGGACAGATAAAATCCCATGAGGTTCCTTCACCAACAGGACTTGCTGAGATCTGGAAACCATTCCCCTAGGAGATCCTTCCCAAGAAAGTTGTTCCCCATCCGCTATTCCTGCTAGCTTTGGCAAAATTTCTCATCCAAATGGAGAGAAAGAGGGTCTAGTTGACTGGCTAATCCCGAATATTAAAAAACAATAGAAGCTGGTTTCAGACCTGCGACGTCTCTAATTTTTAATAGTCCATGAAATGTTTTAATGAAAATCAGGAACCTTTTCATTGGGAATGGGGTTTCTACAGTTTTATATACTTGCCATTCTATCAAAAACAAAAGTAATGATTTTAGACTAAAATCTAATGTAAATAGAAAGCAAAGTTTGTATGCATATATATTTATCTGCATAGGTGAATACTAATGCAGCTCATTACACCAAGGCATCATGAACATTTAATGAAGCCAGGGGATTTTCAAATTCTTTCAAACCAATTTGGACATCTTTGTAAAGAACAGTCTTTATAGTTAGAGTGTTTTTCTTATTGTTTGTAGAAGAGAACAAATTCACTCTTCACCATTATGGCATCTAAATTTCTGAACAAAGAGGTCCCTCAAACACTAACTCTTCCAAAAAATGTTCAAAATGGTGAATACTCAAAAGAGAGTTGGGATGATTGACTTTTGTACTTACAGAAAGGACTTGTTAAGATTCCTTTGACATCTTCCCCTGGTAGTGCCTTAATGTGCTTCCACCCTAATTCACTGATGCCAACCTGTGTAAGAGTTCATTAGCTTCAAATGCTCTTACTCAAAATTTACCAAATGATATAATGGCTTCACTAATTCTTTTTATGTTCAATTTTCCTAATCAGGTAATTATTAGTTTTTCAAATTGAAACATAATTGACATAGAACGTTGTATTCGTTTCAGGTGTACAACACGATTAAGTATTTGTATATATTGTGAAACGATCAGTGCAAAAAGTCTAGTTAACATCCAGTACCATATACAGTTACAAAACTTTTTTACTTGTGATGACAACTTTTAAGATTTATTCTTGGCAATTTTCAAATATAGGATACGGCATTATTAACCATTGTCACCATTGTGCACATTACCTCACCATGACTTATTTATTGTGTAACTGGAAGTTTATACCTCTTGACCCCTTTCATCCATTTCACCCATCACCCACTCCTACCTCTGGCAACCATGAATTTGTTCTCTGCATCCATGAGCTTGGCTTTTCATTTTTGTTGTTGTTGTTTAGATCACACATGTAACTGAGATCATACAGTATTTGTCTTTCTCTGTTGACTTATTTAGCTTAGCATAATGCCCTTCAGGTCCATCCATGTTGTCACAAATGGCAGGATTTCATTCTTTTCTATGGCTGAAAAGTATTCCACTGTGTATATACCACATCTTTATCCATTAATCCATCAATGGACACAAGTTGCTTCCACATCTTAGCTATTGTGAATAATGCTGCAATGAACAGAGGGGAGCAAATATCTCCTTGAATTGGTGTTTTTGTTTTCTTTGGATAAATACCCAGGAGAGGAGTTGCTGGATCACATAATAGTTGCATTTTTAATTTTTTGAGGAACCATATGGTTTTCCATAGTGGCTGCACCAGTTTCCCACCAACAGTGCACAAGTGTTACCTTTTCTCCACATCTCTGCTAACACTTATTTCTTATCTTTTCGATAAAAGCCATCCTGACAGGTGTGAGGTGATATTTCACTGCAGTTTTGATTTGTATTTCCTGATGATTAGTGATATGGAGCATCTTTTCATATATCTGTTGGCCAGCTATATGTCTGCTTTAGGAAAGTGTCTATTCAGGTCCTGAATAGTATTTTTTGAAGCTATGAAAAAAAGAAAACTTCTTAAATAATTTACTAGTTTTTCACAGGTAACCTGTAATAATAATGAGAGCTAAGTGCACATAAAACATGCATACTCAACAAATAGATTTGGCCAACTTATATTTACCATGTTGGTTTAATAGTCATCTGATTTGATTTTAATTTAGAGATAATTTTGGTTTTCTCAAGAAATGAAGAATACCCTCCTGAGATAATATGATACCTATGATATATTGTATTCTATTTGCTATGTGTGACCTTTTTATCATAGCAGAAAGGAAATATTTTAAGGTATTTTCATGAATCAGTTAAGGTATTTTAAAAATCAGAACTTTCATATGCCAGAAATAGTGACACCACCCCAACCCCCCCTCCGCCGCAATGTGGCACAATCCAGGGCAATTGCCATGGTGTGGAAACATCACAATGATATGGAACTCATTCAAAGGGAAGCTTATCGGTGTCTGGAATATTAACTAAAAGCTATTATAATAGATCAAATATATACTAAAAAGTAATGGAATATTATATCTATAGGTGATTCTTAAGAAGATGAGTATTATGAAAATTCAGTGAATAATCTTCACAGAATATTTACATAAAGAATGTGAAAAGAAGTTTCATTCATATTATCTTAAAAAATGGTGCTGGGGGGCGCCTGGGTGGCTCAGTCAGTTAAGCGTCCGACTTCGGCTCATGTCATGATCTCGCGGTCCGTGAGTTCAAGCTCCGCTTCGGGCTCTGTGCTGACTGCTCACAGCCTGGAGCCTGTTTCAGATTCTGTGTCTCCCTCTCTCTCTGACCCTCCCCCGTTCATGCTCTGTCTCTGTCTCAAAAATAAATAAACGTTAAAAAAAATTTTTTTTTAAAAATGGTGCTGGGGCTCCTGGGTGGGTCAGTGGTTGAGCATCCGTCTCTCGATCTTGGCTCCTGATCTCACAGTTTGTGGGATCAAGCCCCACATCTGGCTCTGTGCTGTCAGCCTGCTTGAGATTCTCTCTGCCCCTCCCTTGCTTACTCTCTCTCTTTCTCTCTCTCTCTGTCTTAAAAAAAAAGCACTTTGTCTCAGTAATCTAATATTTTATTTTATGGACCATTTGTGAAACCTTTCATGTCCATGCAGAATTACATGAATATAAACCTGAGTTTTGTTTTGTTTTTATTTTAGAGAGAAAGAGAGAGAGGGGTGGGAGAAGGGCAGAGGGAGAAAGAGAGAGAATCTTAGCGTGGAGCTTGTTGTGACACGGGACTTGATCCCAAGACCTTGGGATCATGACCTGAGCCGAAATCAAGAGTTGGACACTCTACCGACTGAGCCACCCAGGCACCCCTAGACCTGAGATTTTTAAAAGATAAAATACCGAAGTCATAACATTATTAACAAAACATTAACAATTCTAATGATAAAACATGATATTCTGTAACTTGTTCAAATTAAAATGGTATAATAAAACCTAAGAACAGGTATTATTATTTTAATGAGAGCATTTTTGCATAACAACAGTATAAAGACCAGCATAGAAGTAAACAGATATATGATTCTGATGGATTAACTGGGATGGAAAATGAGAAATATAAAATAAAGAGAAATGTAAGGCCTGGGAAGAGAGGGTCACTCTCACATTTTTGTAAATGTGGAGTGATGCTATATTATGTTTTGATGATATGACAGAAAAAGATAGTTTTAATAAGTGACATCTCTAGTAAACAAGTAGCAGAAAAGAGTGAAACGTCTACCTATAAAATATTCTAAAATGAAAACAAAAATGTTACTTTAGCAAGCTATCTGGATCATAGTGACATGCCCCACCATGTTCTAACATGATACATACTGGTGTTCAGATTCCTAAGACCACTCTTCAAATTCACGTCTCTACTGCCTGATTGTTTGGGGTGTGCAGTCTTTCCGTAACTGACCAGCATCTAAGAAAATCGAGAGCTCCCTTGTTACAATTCAAAAACAGAAATCAAGTTTTTGAAACACAGGAAGGAAACTTACACTCCTTCGGTGATGGCGAGTTAATTCATGTTTTTTCCACTGTGAAAAACCAGCCTGAATCCGTGGTTTTCTCTTCGGGCGCTATGACAAGAAATGTTCTTCTCTCTTTGTAAGTACATATTTTAAGCCAAATCTTCTGGGAAAAAAAAAATTAAGTGTAAAAAGCCTCCATCAGTACAAGTATAGAGTTAATTTCCTTGATAATTTTACTCAGATCTACACCTTAGAAAAGTTCTTCTCACAAGGTATTTTTAAAGTGAAGTTGCAAAGAAAAAAATGGGGGAAAAACTATCCACAAGAGCATAAAACCTAGATTTTTAGTGTTTTCCCTCATCCTTCTTTTCTGGAAAGAAATGAAATAGAGGTGGTAGAGTGTTTTTCTATTGAGAGCATGGGTGTGAGATTTATATATTTGCTTCCTTCCTTTGAGCAGTAGCAATAGAAAGAAAACTATCGAAAAGACTCCCTGTGCAGGGTTTCATGGGAGAGGATTTAAGCTGAGTACCAGATAGCATCAGGCTTGCAAGAGTCTGACATCTCTGCCCCAGACTCTTTTTAAGTGATTACCCTTTTCCTTGTCAAAGAAATTTGGCCCACAACTCAATGTGCCCCTTATTATGAAAGGGGGTGGGGTAAATGAAAGGCATTTTCTCACCTAATGAGATGTCAAAGGTGAAATCACTGAAATCAGCAAATTCTGACTTTCGTACAGAAAAAAATGCCATATTTTACACGTCAATTTTGTGATATTTAGACTCCCATTCTTCATAAAGTTAACACTGTTCATGCACATTGTGGATTGGGATGGTTTACTTTTCTGTGAATTAACTAAGTTCTGATATTTTCCCTTATTAAAAAAATGTGTGAACACTAGCAGTATTGGAATTTTATCTTTAATAATATTTGCAGGAAAAAATATTTAAGTTCCCCGATCTCTTAAGAGGAGGTAACAAATGGGAGCAGATACAGAGCCATACTTAAGATACATGAACGACTTTCAGAAACGATTCTAAGTTAAATGTTCCTGACATTTTACATAGGGCCCTTAAACAGAAAATGTTCTTTACCTGCAAAGACAAGAATTTATTTCATATTTTTAAAAACCTTTTTACTTGTTTATTTCGATAGCAGATTGAAGTTTTCTAAGAAATGTCCTTTCAGCTAATGATGTAACCTAGTTAAATTATTTACTCTCAGCTTTGATTTTTTTTTTTTTTTGTATTATTATTAAAACACCTACTAAAAGGGTTTCTGGACCCAATTTCAACACGTGTGTGGGGAACAAACAAATCTTTTTTTTTTTTTTAATTTTTTTAAATGTTTATTTAAAAGACAGAGAGTGAGTGGTGGAGGAGCAGAGAGAGGAGGAGAGACACAGAATCAGAAGCTGGCTCCAGGCTCCGAGCTGTCAGCACAGAGCCCAATTCGGGGCTCAAACTCACAGACCGCAAGGTCACAACCTGAGCTGAAGTTGGACGCTCAACCTACTGAGCCACCCGGGCGCCTCCCCAACAAGCAATTCTTGGACGCTGACTCGGTGTCCTACTATTGAAGTCAATTCTTTCTGCCTGGAGAAGGCAACCCCACAGGTTAAGGGCTCAGAATTCTCCTAAGACTACCCGTCTTGCCACTTCAGATTCCCAGTCCCAACCAAACGCAGATTGTCAGCTGTGCTTCTGACAGACGGGCTGCAGAATGGGGGTTCCCAAGACACCCTCCCACAGTTGAGGGAGTTTGCTAGAGCTGCTCACAGAACTCCGGGAGCCATTCTCCTTACTAGATCCTTGGCTTCTTATAAAAGGGTGTAACTGGGGAACAGCCCGATAAAAGAGATACACAGGGCAAGGTGTGGGGGGAGGGTGTGCAGCTTCCCTGGCCTTTCGGGGCACACTGCTCCCTCCAATCTCCACCTGTTCACCACCCTGGAAACTCTGCAGACTCATCCTTTTCTGATGGAGGTTTCACTACATACATATAATTGATTGAACTGATTGATTAAATGGAAGTGATTGATTCACTTCCAGCACCTCTCCCCTCCCTGGTGGCCAGGGGGTTTGGACTGAAGGTTCTCACCCCATAACCACTGGGTTGGTTCTCTAGACAACCAGCCCCTATCCTTTGGTGCAAATGTCACCTCATTAACATATCAAAAGACACATTTATTGCTCTCAACCTTGAAAAAATTCCAAGGGTTCTGAGAACCAAGAACCAAGGACTATGGACAAAGGCCAAATATGTATTCCTGATAAATTACAATATGGCACATACGTATATTCACACATGAACACCACAGATGTTACCCTCAAGATAACCTAAAACCATCATTTTATTGAGTGGAAAACTGAAGCATAAGAGACGTTAAGTGACTTGAACTTGTATCCAGATAGCTACTAAAAGAATGTAATAAATTTCTACTACAGTGTTTGCTTTATCGGTTCCATGATAAAATGTGGGCTACCAATGAAATACTTGTTATTTTGGCAAGTGTCAATTGATAAGTATTAGTGAGAGAATAATCACAATAATTTGTTTTATGCCATTTACCTTTTGTGTTTGTTTTGCTTCAAGCTATATCACAAACATCCTTGAAATGAAAATGTAAACTGTCCAATGTCAGCGATGGAAAAAATAAGACAGGGAAAAATTGCAGGAAAAAGTGAACAATAATTAAGTGTTCAAGTACTAATTACAACTTAAATGTCTTGAAAAGAAAGTTAATTCTGAGCTTCCTATAAAATAGTGTCACTGTATATAGAATTCATTTTTTAATACCTCCTCTGTGCAAGAAACTCATTTGCCAGATTTGCTTTCAATGGATTGTACCATTGTTTTATTAAGGCCTCCTACAATAATAGATGCAAAGACCATTAAAATAAACGTTGCTTCTGTCTCATTAATTTGTTTGATAACTCCTTTTTATGCATACCAGACTAGGTGAACTTTCTTTAAAATGAAATTTTAGGTGCATGGACCACACTGACCCCTTTCACAAGTACTGAGATAACACTAATGGAATTAATGGGATTGTTCCATGTCATTATTATCATTGTTCCAGAGTATTCATACAGCAGCACATTACGACAAGAGGTTACAGAGATCTAAAAATAACAGTCCGCAATCAGTACAAAACCATATTTAGATCCCCAGGTGTATGCCGCAATATTCTGAATCCAATTCCCGAAGGGTTAGGACACATTTACAGCAATTAAACAACACTCCCTTTTATCTCAGGAAAGGGTGAAAATCTATTTTCGCAATCAGCTGCAATTATTGGTCCATTATCCCATTTTCCCTCTGAGGATTGTTCATGATCTTGGACCTTTGAACACATGAGCTCCCAACACTTCAGCCTTCGGGAAATAGCCATCCCCGTGTAAAGACAGCTCAGTAATGGCCAATCATGAAAAGAAGACGGAGCACTCAAAATAGGTTGCCTCATATTCAAGTAAATACATAAAACTAATAAAAAGCAGTTTGGAAACGCACACCGGAAGATATATGAGCAAGCATGTAGTGATTATGTCCATATAAGTGGTATTCTGGAAAGCTGTCAGAGAAACTGTAAGAATTAAGATTGGATAATCCACACATAGAAAATATAGGGAGTGCCTATTACGTGCCAAGCATCATCGTGAGCTGGAGCTGCAGTAGTCTTAAAATTAAAAGCAGAACTCTACCTGCGAAAAGATTTAGTGAGGAGGTCCGGCAGGTAATGACTTCAAGGTGAGATGTGATTAACGTCCTATAAGTGGGGCAAACCATGCTGGACAGTTATGGTCACTTAAATCACTCCTGGCTGGAGTAGCCAGGGAACATTTAATAAAAAAAGGGAACGTTTCATCTGACTTTTATCCTTTCTGGGGGAATCTCAAAGATACCTGGACAAGTTAAATTTATGCCAATGCCTTTTCTGATCCAGGGCAGGGTGGAAAGGCATCCTTAAGACTTGTACACTCTCTGTTTCAGGCTATTATGAAAAAGTATTGAGACATTAATCTTAAGAAGGTTGCATAGCTACAATTCTCAAGCCAATAGGTGCATGGTGGTAAATAGCATGGCATCCTTTGGTTGGCAGGGGCCAAAAGATTGTTCTGTCCTCCTGATATGCGGTATTACTTGACCCACCTTGGGACAAAGGTGAGAATGATTGCTCAGAACCATTTCTTATCTCTACGAAAAGTGACTACATTTTCATAAAATAAATTGAGCCATCTGGGTAAGTGCTGTCTGGGTTCATGTGAGTCATAGCTTTTTCCACATTTCCTGAAATGTAATCCCACTGGTTAAAAATTCCCAAGATGGAGAAACAATCGCAGGTATCACAGCTATA